TAAACGCAGTTTTTGGACGGTCTTCTTGGGCTATCGGCAGGTGATGATAGGCGGAATGTAGATCGAGGCCGCAGAAATACTGATTGTTCCTACCAAGGGCGTCAATAAGCTCTTGGACAATCGGCATTGGGTAATGATCATCGAGAATAAGTTTGTTCAATTCCTTGTAGTTCTCAACAAGTCGGAAGCGCTTTTCGATGGGCGCATCAGGTGGTCCTTTCTTATTGACGAGAAAGGCAGGTGCGTTGTAAGGGGAAGCCGCATGTTCTAAGATGCCGTCTTCCAGGTACACGTCAATAATCTTGGCAAACTGAGCATTGCGCTCGACGGAGTGCCTATATTGGCGAGTGGCAGGCGGTGGAGCATCTATAGTGGGAATGCGGACAACATGATCAATAAACAGACTGCGTCGTCCTGACCACTGTCGAATGGCTGGCGCGTGCGCTTTCAAAATCTCGGTGACTCGCCGTCATTCGTCGGATGAGCTGTCAACAAAAAGAATGCCCTCCCCGCAGGGTAAGGAGGGTTTGGCTGGCGCGCGCGCAATCTTGCAAAATCCGGTGAACAGTCTTTGACCGTTGACTGTGATTGCAACCGGTAATTGAAGCAAAATATTGCGGCCAAAAATAAAATCAAATTCGCGTAGCTTTGGTAAGACCAAAAAAACCCCGGAATATTTGATGCCGTGAAACAGAAACGCAATCTGCGCTGTGTGGGCAATGGTCATTGGTTCTGGACCCAAAGCAGTGCTGACGGAAGTGGAAACTGGAGTACAGCGAATGGTCAGGGACTTGATCAGAGAGTAGGACACGAAGGAGTGGGAAGCACCCGTATCGAGTAGACCCGAAAATACCTGGTTATGCAGAGATACCTGAAGAACCACTGGTCGAGGTGCGGTGGAGAGGGTAGACATTCGTGTCACTCGGCGACAGGGTAAAGGGAAATAGACGCCCGTAAACGCGTAGTATACCGGGCGAAAGAATGTTACCTTTGTACTTTTTGAGCGCCTCAGTAACCCTGTTAGACTACTTCTGCACCATGATGTGGACTTAGCTGCACCGTTCTCTGCGACTGAGGTAGATGTAGACAATGAATTGGGACGTAGGCGACAGTCGTTGGAGCTGTGGCGCATGTGACGTTTGTGATAGTCACACCACTGGCGCAGTGGCAGGTCCCGCCGTGATCGGTATCCCGTTTTGCGGGACGACGATTTCTTGTTGCCTGACGTGGACTTCTCCCGGTGATTCAGGCGATAGGATTCTGCGATGTCGACGAAGTCATCCCATTTCATGTGTTGGTTTTTCAGCCATTTCTTCTGGAGTTCTTCCCGCAGGCCGCCGTTGGAGATGCGAAGAAGCTGTTCCATGAGCGTCTGCTGGATCAAAGGTTCGCCAAATTCCAAGAGGTCGGCGGGAACATGCAAGAAGGATTCATATTGGTTGCGGAGGTGTTCCGCAAAACTCAGGTAGCTCTCCCCGCTGTCCGGTTTCATCCGTCTGAAGGTATCCAGCCAATCCAAATGAGGCGTTGGATGTTTGGTCTCGATTGCAACGACAAGCGGTTTGAATTCCCGGATGCCGCGTTTGTACAGGTGGTGGGCTGTCCCCTGAATTTTTGGTAACGTATTATCCATGAGGCATCTGACGCGGTGTCCATCATTGATGTAGTCTATGTCCAGGCAATTTCGGAGGCGCATGGCATAATCTTCAAATTCTTTGTCTGCATGTTGCTTAGGCAGTTCCGGAATTTGAGGTTCTGCAAACCACTGTGGAGGCATGGCCGGTAGTTGGACTGTCCGATCTTCTTCCCGAAGTGGAACAAGTTGCGTGGATGACCCCGATGGATCTAGGAAACGCCAGCAAAGCTGAGAGGGGAACTTGGAACTTGTCGAGGTGGGCTGCATATCCTGCTTTCGTCGCAATCATCGGGCATCCAAGACGATACGTGTCGGTCAGGAACTGCAAGGTATCCAACGGCAGTGATTCCCAAACGCTCGCTGTGGACGCCGAGCTGGACGACGATGAGGCGGTGATCATGGTTCCAGATGCACCGGTCGGTGTAGCAGCTGGTGGTTCCCCAATTGACGGAGTGGACTGTTGAGCTTGTTCCGTATTCATCTCGAGCTCGTATGCGGCGGCGGCGCGTGAATTTTCAGTGTTGCGCACCATAAAGAAAATGCCGGTTTCCGTGAAAAGCTAACTATTGCAGGCTCGAGCCCCCAATAACGATAAATGAAGAACTCCTCCCTTTTCAGGAACACGACAGTTATTTATTTACAAGTCACACGTAACACACAGTAAGAAGTCAGGAGATGTTACTGAGTCAAGAGCTGAGATCGAAGTGCCGAGTCGGGGTTCCTCTCGTCGCCTCCTCCACAAGTGGTTCCGGTGGTGGTGCAATGACCTGTTCAGGTAATGTCGCAAGAGGTGGTACCGATGATGACGCAAGGATAACAGGTGGTTGGGAGTAAACACGTGGGGAGACACATGGCCGTTTGCCCTTACGCCAGTACGGACGTCTAGATGGCGCTGTGTCAAGTAAAGGGGGACCCTTACTCTACAGTAGCCCTTATTGGAGTGGCGTGGAAAACAACGGCCCTGAGTTGAAAGCAGTGGTCGAACTTACAGCTTGGACTTGGATAATGCTTGCAAGCCTTGGAAAGTTGTGAAACATTTCGTGATTGGCTTGGCGTGCACCAATGCAGCTTTTATTTAATTTTTGTGACTGTCGAGATTGGCATTAATTAATGTATTGACACGTGATGTTATCGTGTGTTTTTTCACTGACGTTGTCGAATCCGTGTAACCCTCCGCGAAGGTACGATTGCTGGGTTTATGCATCGGTTGAAGACGGTTTTGGTAGTTCAAGTTATTCGTGATTGCTTTATTCAGTGATTTCCCTTCTTCAGATTAAATTGATCTTCTTCCACATCAACATTATGGCGGAGCTCGATTTGACTCCGAAAATCAGTTCTTACCTTGACCGTCACATGGTCTTTCCGTTGCTTGAATTCCTTTCAATGAAGGAGGTGAGGAATTAACATTCTCTTCTAAAATAATTGACTTGTGCAGAGTCTTTTGCAGATATACGATGTCAACGACCTCATGGAAGGAAAACTCAACTTGTTGAGCGACACCAACATGGTTGATTATGCCAGGGAAGTTTATCGCAATCTTCATGGAGAAGATGGAGGTCCGGAGCATCTTCTTCAGAAAAGAGCGGATGTTGTTGCACAACTGAAGCAGTATCAAGAGGAAACTGAGCCAATCCTGAATATTTTCGTGAAGAAAGAAGTGCAGCAACAGTTCAAGACGGCGAGAGATTTCCGTCAACTGCAGGAGTTTCTGGTGGAAAATTATCAAGTAGGCGTGACTGTGAATTATGTTTTACCTGAATTGCAACTCTCGTATGTTTTCTTCCGCAGTTCCGGCCTGATATGATAGACACTCTGTACAATTTTGCGAAATTCCAATACGAGTGCGGAAATTACGCGGGTTCCGCAGAATACCTTGACTTCTACAGAATTTTAGTTCCATCGTCGGACCGAAATTACCTAAGTGGATTGTGGGGGAAACTTGCATCTGAGATCTTGATGCAACACTGGGATGTCGCTCTGGAAGACTTGAACCGAGTTAAAGATTATATCGAAAATCAATTGAGCGTGTTTGGTTCTGCCTTGGAAGCTTTGCAGCAGCGAGCATGGTTGCTTCATTGGTCCCTCTTCGTCTTTTTCAATCATCCGAAGGGGAAGGATCTGATAATCGACATGTTTCTTTATCAGCCTCCGTGAGAGACTTTAAGAATTTTCTGCTGAAATTGTCCTGAATCGTATCAATCAGGTTTATTCCTGAAACAAAGCTATTATTAAATTTTCCAAATTTTTCGAAAATGAGAGAATCTTCCGTGAGTTGTTCTACAATTTATTCGATTTCGGGTCCGCAGGTATCTGAATACCATTCAGACGATGTGTCCACATCTGCTTCGATACTTATCGACTGCAGTCATTATCAATAAGCAGCATCGGAGAGCAGTCATGAAGGATTTGGTCAAAGCTATTCAACAGGTGAACATCCATTTGAAGTTTTTCTGGCTCCTTCAACCGTTTCATTCTGTCCGTGGTGTCGACATTTTAGGAATCGTACACATACAGTGATCCTATCACTGAGTTTCTGGAAGACCTGTGCGTGAATTTCGATTTTGATCGAGCACAGCAAAAATTGCGCGATTGTCGAGACCTACTCTACCAAGATTTCTTCCTTACGGCCTGTTTGGATGACTTCATGGAGAATGCAAGACTGATGATATTCGAAACCTTCTGCCGCATTCACCAATGTATTAGTATAAGGTGAGGAAACATGAATTACATCTTCATTCTGGTCAGCAAGATGTCCTTGTGAAATGCTCGTCGAACATAAGATAGTACAGTATAATGATGAAGGTAGTCTTGACACTTTGAATAACGGGTGGAATATACAAAAATAGTCCTGAGGACGGAAAAACATCGCTATGTAGAGAACCCTTTGGTGTTTAGGAGTTCAATGTTAATACTGTAAGACATCGTTCGTAAGTTCTTACTGCAGATCATGAATCGAACGAAAAGAAACCTAAATTGAACGAAGAACTAGGACAAAGTTTACCAAAAATCTAGGATCATTCAAACGGAAAATCGAATTTCAAAAGCAACTACGAGAGCAGGAGTATGATACTGTACAAAAAATTCCCAAGTACAATAAAATATAATGTGCCGTACTAAGTTTTATAGCGAAAAATGCGGAACTGACTGAATACAGTTGGACGTTTAAACATACAGTATTTCGGTAGAAAGAATTGTTACCGATTCATGCTGAGTTATACAGTAGGTCTTATATTTTGAGCGAGTCCAAGTTTTCTGAAAGTTGTGGTCGAACCAACGTTTCTTGACGCTAGTTTTGTTGTAGTTTTGGTTTTGTGACAAAATATTTTCTGGCAGTCTTCAGAAACAAAGAATTTATATGGCCCCTTTGATAAGTCATGTACAGCCTAGACATTGAGTTTTTCGTTAATGCCATTTTCGAAAAGAAGTGGCACGGTGATGAGCCACGTGTAGAGTTTGGCAAGTGCTAGTCTTGGAAGTTTTATCTTCGATTTGTACAAAAATCAAATCTTGCAAGTGCCCAAATGCCCCAACAAAGAAGGAAATGAGTTCTGTACTTATGTCGTGCGTAGATTATTGATCATTGTATTTATATGTTTATTCCGCAGTATGTTAGCCGAGAAACTGAATATGACGGATGAAGAAGCTGAGAGATGGATTGTAAATCTGATACGCCACGCGCGCTTGGATGCAAAAATTGACTCGAGTAAAGGGCACGTGGTCATGGGAACGCAGGCCGTATCACCATATTCTCAGTTGATCGAGAAGACCAAAGCGCTCTCCTTGAGAACCCAAATGTTAGCCCTGCAGATTGAAAAACGGATCACCACTGTTCGAGCCGGAGAAGTGAGTCTTTTTTTTTCGTGTGTGCCACATTTGTTGAGTTGAGCTTCTTCCTGGGGAAGAAGCTCAAAGCTTATTGACCGTACAATTTGATAACTTGAAATCAGCTCGCACGAAAAACCTACGTTCGATTACCATATTTTATTACCAATGAAAAAATCCCATATGTAATGGGGTCATCTGTTGATACAGTGAAATTTAGCGAATGACGACCTAATGTGTATATGTTTGCTTTTTCACAGCCTGGTTCGCAGTGGGGAGGACAGGACTTCTAAGACGCAACAGCGATGCACCATTCTGATTTTCTCTACTATCCGCCGTTCAGTGAAGAAGAAAAACGCGGCCGTTTCAAGGGTTGAGCGAAAAAAAAATCGTTGATGGAAGTCTCAATGCGTATTTATTCATTTATTCGAGGCGCGAGAGCGCTTTTGGAGTACAATATCTTCCTGTATTCGTAGACCGGATTAAAAAAGCTTGTATTGAATTTAACTGATCAGGTAGCGCATGTCCTTTGCTCCATTGCATTCCTGAGTGTTTCAAGCCCGAAGGTGTTGAGAGCTATGGAAAGTTCAACGACAGATCAAAGTAGTGATGAATTGTCTACGTAAGTATTTATCCAATCGGCTTTGTTCCAATTTTAAAATGGTTGATGACCGTCCACGTCTTTTGGCAGCTATGGACAGTGCGACATTTGTGAAGAACATTCCGCAAAGTATAAGTGTCCCCGCTGTGATAAGAGGACATGCTCATTATCGTGCGTTAAAAAGCATAAGGTACGGTATGATTGTTGTGGCCAACGAGATCGAGCTAAGTTCGTTCCAGTGAAGAAATTTTCGAATCTGGACTTGCTTAATGGTGAGTGATCAACTGGAAATACAACTCTAAATCCGTTGGTGTCGAGTTTGAATCCGAGATCTGAAATGTTCGTTTGTTTTGTGAGTCAACAGATTACCGATTTTTGGAAGAAGCGGCGCGAGTTGCCGAGCGATGCCACAAAGACAAAACCAGATTGATTTCACGAACTGCACCGCATTCTTCTTTGCCGCCCGTGAGTCTGATCTATTCCTGCTAAATCTGATCGTAATTTTGAGTGATCATTTAAAATTATGGGCGGACTTGTTTTCCATGAATTCCCCTGGATCAAATTATCGCCGGAATTTTGATTTTCATTTCACGTACGGCATTTGGGTGCCTTTACATTGAACGAAAATAAAATTATGCTGATGAAGTGGATTACGACGGACGGGCTGACAATTGTTATCGAGATTAACACATGAGTAACAAATTCATCGTTTCTTTTTGGGGGTTTTCATGGTTAAAACACTTCCACTTACGGTATTCTGTGTTGTATGTTTGGTGACTTTCCGGATGGCAGCTTCACAATTGGACTGCTTGACGGATGCATGATTCAATTCCAAGGCGAATATGTGCTATTATCAATCTCGGAATTTGAAAGTTGCGCGACTCATACTACCTAATCGCTAAAACCACTATTCCATGCTTTGTTTTTCGTTGGTTACATTATTTATGCTCCAGTTTTTCATTTCTCACAGCATTTGTATCAACTGAAGATGGCGGCGCGACAGCGAGGGATTTTTCTGACGTTTATGCCTAAAATTTTTACGAAGCACAGAAGTAACTCGACTCGTGTGAATTTCAAGACGCGGGCGATTTTTTGGAAAATTACATGGAAATTTCTGCAAGCAGATTTTTCCGAAGACAGTGACTGAGACTCCTTTCTAAGAAATGCATTTGGAGTCTAATCCCCCCCCCCTTTTTTTTTTCTCTCTCGTAGGATTTATGAAGACACGCTATACCGCTCTGGGCGAACTTTATGTGCCGTTCCTCGAAACGCCTAAATATTCTTGGAAGTTGTCCGTGTATCAGAGTGTGGGCTTTGCTGGATGCGTGGTGCTGATGAGAGCTGAAGGAAATCATCGTTTGGGCGTGAAGAAAGTTGATTTTTCTAAACGGGGTCCCCGGGACACGGAATCCCCGCGCGACAAAATCCCTGACACGAAATCCCCGCCATACCCGCGCACAGCTGTAACAAAAGCCCCGAACTTTTTTCCAAGCAGCAAGCTTTTTAGTGTCACCCTCGCCGCTGGTTAAACTTCATTACTTTGCTACTGATTGAGGGAAGTACACGAGCTTGAAGGAAAAATATTGTCAAGCTATCGCATTTTTTTAAAGACGTCGCAAGGAAATCGTCTGCCCCTCAATAAACGATTGTGATCGCGAAAATTTGGGAATACCCCCAAAGACTCGGGATATGATTGTAACAATTGTATTATAAAAATGTATTTAAAACCCTGAAAGGAAACTCGAATTCAGGATGTGCACAGCTGCAGATATTTTTGTCCTTCCTGCACTCAAGCCCAGACCCCCTGAGGCGTCACCACCTGTTGGGGGCCAGGACAGAGTTAAAAGCATCCTTGGGAGCAGCTGCTCCACCAGGGATTTTTTAAAACCCCCCCCCCTTTTTTTTTTTCTCTCGTAGGATTCACGAAGACACGAAGCTGGGCGAAATTTTAATGCCGTTCCTCGAAACGCCTAAATATTCTCGGAAGTTGTCCGTGTATCAGAGTGCGGGCTTTGCTGGATGCGTCGTGCTGATGAGAGCTGAAGGAAATCATCGTTTGGGCGGGAAGAAAGTTGATTTTTCTAAACATTTTCTGACCGATTTTCTTGTAACTTCTGTTTGCTTAATTCAACGTGTTTGCTTCGGTAGGTATTTCCAGCTTGATTTGAAGCGTTCTCTGAAAGACAACCTGAAGGGAAAGCTTGTAGTCGAGCATCCAGAATTGTTCGTTTTCACGCTTCCACACATAGAGACTCTCGATATCATTGGTGAGTGTACATCGATTTTTGACATTTGAAACTTCTCTTTCGAATTTTGAACTGAATTGTTCTCGTTACATTTTTCAACTTTCAGAAGAAGTTAATGACCTAATTGAGTGGGAAGGTCCAGAAGAAGAGAAGGACATTGACGATTGTCACCCATCAGAGCAGGGTTCTCATCATGATGAACCCGAGGGCGAACTGACCGAAGCTGACTTCGACAGGCATTATAGCAATTATTATAAAGAGTTTATGCAGCATTACGCCAAAATATACGGGATCAAAAATCCCGATGATTTGCCGGAAGATATTCGATTCAAAGCGAACCTGTTCTCAGAGGCCCGTACTGCTCAGTCCTCCGGGCATGACCACCTAGAAAAAGAGTCGCGGAAACGAAAAATCGTTTCTTATGGTGAAATTGACGATGTAAGTAGTGTTTTGCTTTAGCAGCACGGTTTATTTCTGCCATCTCCGGTGTAAGAATTTCGATTTTCTCTTCAGACGATCATAATTCAAGCGATAATTGAAGAGCTTTGGTGTGTTCATTTTGGAGTGTCAGAGATAATGCGGACCGATTTAGTTGGAAGGTTATTATTTGGCAATTAGTTTAGTAGGTCAGTCAGAACACGGTTTCAACCTTTTATGAATTTATGAATCTTCGTTTTTTGTCTGATACGTATCAGTTTGTTGCATTCTGGCTGGTAAGGTAGGCCTCATATCATTTTTAACGTTTCAATTTCCTCAGTCTTAGTCAGTAAATTGAGTTCGTTCGTAGAACTGAAGTACAACATTCTACGATGAAGCTGTTATCTGGTGAATATTCTTTAGTATTCTCTAAGAACTCTGACCTCTCTTTGCAGTGTTTCGGAAGCTGAAAAATGTTCCTGTGGATTCTGGATAACTCACCGGATAGCAATAAAGCTGATCTGAAAGTCACCACATGTCTATAGATATTTATTGAGGAATATGATATGCCTTGTTGTTCATGACGATGATTGTTTCAGATCACATCATAGGCTGATTTGCTTATCCTTTGCGCATGACGTGAGTTTCATATTGACAGCAGCCATGGTTGGTCTATTATCCTCCATACCGAGTCGACATGATGTGGGCACGATAATCAATTTATACGAGGATCAGAATTTGGGCGTATTACGAACAGATCTGAAAAACATTTATGTTTTCTCTGTCGACGTAGTGAAGAATGGAATCTCCATCGCGGAAGGATCTCGTGTACGTTTTAACCTTGATGCCAGAAGTAATGTAACTGCGTTAGATGTGGAGACAATGGTGAAATCAAGAGAGGAGAAAGTGCCCGCAGAGATCGAGATTGCCGAAGAATCTGTCTTGAAAAATTGTGAGGTGGAAATCGAGGACTCCGACAAAAATGTCGAGGATACCGACCAGATCTCCGATTGTCAAGATAACCTGTCTGACACACCCAAGGTTATTGATGCCGCTGAAAAGCTTCCTTCTTGGCCAGAGATCATGGTAGTGGAAGGAATCGTGCAGAAAGAAGCAGCAGATGAAGTTACTGTGGAAATCGATAACGGAGACACAGTACGTTTTTCGAAAAAGCTATGCTGCGGAGAATTCAAAGATAAATGGACTTTCTTGGATCGTGAGTTATTTTTGCTAAGTAACATCTATGAATTAGATGTGACATTTGTATAAGTTTTCATGGTTATTCCTTCGTTTTTGTTCTGGGTTGAGTGAATTGATTTTTTTCTTTCAAGAGTCACTGTATTCGTGTGTATTTCGCTCGCCGGATTACCACAATTATGAATCCTCGTAATTTTCATGTAACAATGACGTGCGTTGCATATGAAAATGATAATTTGCAAGGCTAATATGAGATTTTTATATTTGTTTCCGGTTGAAGCCTGATATCGCTTCTGCATAGTTAGGCCCCTGAACTGCCCTAGGCACATGATGGAAAAGAACTAACTTAATGACATTGAAATTCGAGGATTACTATCTAGTAACAATGGATGATAACGCTGTCCGGAATTCCAAGTAAAGAATGGAGGTAAAGGTGACCTCTCCCCGCAACAATCTTGTCTACAGCAATTTTCTCTGTTGAACAAATTTTTGTTGTTGTCCCAAGAGATTCTATTCCCATGCAAAAGGGGTTCTCAGTAGCAAAATTCGCATTTTTATTGGTCCCTTGAATTTAATTGTAGAAAGTCCACCTGTAGTAATGTCTGGCGGGATTTTATGTTGGAGGCTACATTGAGTGTGGGGTATGTTCAATGTTCTCCACCGTCTAAATTAATGTTAATGGATTTTTAAAAACCTCCAGACTTTGGATTTATCTTGTTAATCTTTAGTTTCTTGGATATATTGCTAAAAAAAAAGGCAGTCAACCCTAAATTTAGTGGCACCCTCACATAGTGCTGCATATTTCCCTGCAACAAATCTCCCTTTATTGTGTTCAAGAGAAAACCCCGATTTAGTGTCTATTCTCTTTGCCCCATAAAAATACCTTCTCCTTTATTTAAAAAAGGACAAAAACAAACAAATCAAAGCCGTGTTTGGGGTTACAATTGCATTAAAACTGGTGATAACATGTCCATGCTCACATAAAAACTCAGGATCACTTTGAAAATCGTATTTTTGAATCAACATCGTTCAAGTTTTTTGTTGCACCTTCCTGCATTCGAATTTTATAATTGAAGTGGGAGCTTTCCTGGAAGCATTGGGGATTTTTGCGCTATGGCACCTGATGTATGTTTCAAACTCGAAAAGTGTTTCATGAAATGGCTCTGCTCTTCTACTGATGTACTCAACACAGTACGTGTGTACGAATCTGATATATTCTCTTTTGGTAAATATATTGAGATGCAGAATGAAAAAAGTTCATTTGTGCTTCTAGTTATTTTGTCGCTATATTATTAAATAGACACTAGCCTAACAATTCTGTAAACATGCTTATTTTTTCGACAGCTGAAAACGCCAACTGAATCTTCCTCTCATACGACACCCTCGATTTAGTGCCACGAAATGTGCCGCTTCAAATGGTGGCACTAAATTCGGAGTGTGGCTGTAACACATTTTCCTTTCCGAACTATAATGTTTCAGGTGATCTGGTCTTGCTTCGAATCCGGAAAGGCACCAAGGACGTTGAAGTTTTGTCCTGTGCTGTGCGTTACCGAGAAGTTTGGTCGAAAGCTGAGATTTCATCAGATAAGACCCGTTTAAGTTATAATGGGAATTCGAGCCTAATCTCGAATGCAAGGCATGGTGTTCTCAAAGACAGCGATGAATTTTGTTTCGCCGTCGTGATTAAGACGGCCCGTGAGAGGGTGCCGTGGCGTTCAGTCGATATACGACGTTCATGTTCGAACTTCCGTGGGCAAGAAAATCCGTTGTCGCAAGCTTTTCACACGAATTTGATGCTCAGGAATCGTTATGATGACGACTGCGAAGACGTTGAAGTTACGTATGGACTTTCTTTCGGAATCGTTTCATTGGGTGAAACTTCCGATAAGTATTCAATGACCGCCAAGAATCAAGGTACAACCACACGCACTTTGAAGTCCGTGAAAGTTACGAGCATGGAGAACATTTTCAAAATAGTTGAAGGTAGTTTCCCCGTCGACTTGTTACCTGGGGACTTGGAAGCTTTCTGGTTGGTGTGCAGCCTTGAGGAACTCGACGCATTGCCTCCTTATTCTACTGGAGAAATAGTTTTCGAATTCGAAGACTTCGATGTTCGCAGGTTGCTTTGTGCTCGGATGATTACACCTGATGAGACTGTGGCCCGGGACGAATCTGTGCCGGGAGCGGTTTGTAGACCTGGAAAGGCGTATGTCAATCGGCCTAATCGGAAATCAACCTATGAGTACCGCTATGAAATAGACCCAGAGTTGCGGCGGGCTGTGCTGGATGGGGATGATCTCGGTCTATGTGCCCCAGTTCTTCAAAGAAATCTGACGAGGGAAGATTATGCGGCGTTTTTTCAGAAACTCGTCGAAATAGAGATAGGTCCAGTCAAAGTCCCTTTTTATTTTTTTCATGGTGGGAATGGGATTTTTTTTTGACAGCGATTGAGGTCTTATCAGTGTCGGGGTTTCTTGGGGCACAAAGTGACTGGGACTCACTGCGATAATCCCTTCTTCGTCCTCCCCCTCAGAACAGGACGTCTGGCATTCCACACTTAATCGTTCTCAGAAGCCCGTACTGCTCAGTCCTCCGGGCATGACCACCAAGAAAAAGAGTCGCGGAAACGAAAAATCATTTCTTATGGTGAAATTGACCATGTAAGTAGTGTTTTGCTTTAGCAGTACCGTTTTTTCTGCTATCTAGGTATAAGAATTTAGATTTTCTCTTCAGACGATCATAATTCAAGCGATAGTTGAAGAGCTTCGGTGTGTTAATTTTGGAGTGTGCAGAGATAATGCGGACCGATTTAGTTGGAAAGTTATTATTTTGCAATTTGTGTCGTAGGTCAGTCAGAACATGCTTTCAACCTTTTATGAATTTATAAATCGTCGCTTTTTGTCTGATATGTATCAGTTTGTTGTATTCTGGCTGGTAAACTAGGCCGCATATAATTTTAAACGTATCAATTTCCTCAGTCTTAGTCAGTTAATGGATTTTGTTCCTAGAACTAAAGTATTTCACGATAAAGTTGTTATCTAGTGAATCTTCTGTAGTATTCTCTAAGAACTCCGACCTCTCTTCGCAATGTTTCGGAAGCTGAAAAAAGTTCCTGACGATTCTGGATAACTCACCGGATGGCAATAAAGCTGATCTGAAAGTCACCACATGCCCATTGATATTTATTGAGAAATATGATTTGCCTTGTTGTTCATGACTATGATTGTTTCAGGTTACATCATAGGCTGATTTGCTTTTCCTTTGCGCATGACGTGAGTTTTATATTGACAGCAGCCATGGTTGGTCTGTTATCCTCCATACCGAGTCGACATGATGTGGGCACGATCATCAATTTGTTCGAGGATCAGAATTTGGGTGTAATACGAACAGATCTGAAAAACATTTATGTTTTCTCTGTCGACGTTGTGAAGAATGGAATCTCCGTCGCGGAAGGATCTCGTGTACGTTTTAACCTTGATGCCAGAAGTAATGTAACTGCGTTAGATGTGGAGACAATGGTGAAATCTAGAGAGGAGAAAGTGCGTGCAGAGATCGAGATTGCCGAAGAATCTGTCTTGAAAAATTGTAAGGTGGAAATCGAGGACTCTGACAAAAATGTCGAGGATACCGACCAGATTTCGGATCTTCAAGATAACCTGTCTGACACAACCACGGATATTGATGCCGCTGAAAAGCTTCCTTCTTGGCCAGAAATCATAGAAGTGGAAGGCGTCGTGCAGAAAGATGCAGCAGATGAGGTCACTGTGGAAATCGATAACGGAGACATAGTACGTTTTTCGAAAAAGCTATGCTGCGGTGAATTTAAGGATAAATGGACTTTCATGGATCGTAAGTTATTTTTGCTAATTAACATCTATGAATTAGGTGTGACATTTGTGCAAGTTTTCACGGTTTTTATGCGTTCGTTTTTGTTCGGGGTTGATTGAATTGATTTTTTTCTCAAGAATCACTGTATTCGTGTGTATTTCGTTCGCCGGATTACCAAAATTGTCGATTTCCATAATTTTTATGTAAAAATGCGTTGTATATGAAAATGTTGATTTGCAAGGTTAATACAACAATTTTTTAAGTTTCCGGTTGAACCCTGATATCGCTTCTGCTTAGTTAGGCCCTTGAACTGCTCTAGGATCATGATGAAAGAGAAGTAACTTAATAACATTGAAATTCGAGGATTTCTATTTAGTAACAATGAATGATAATGATGTCAGGAAATCTAAGTAAATAATGAAGATACAGGTGACCTCTCTCTGTAAAAATCTTGTCTACAACAATTTTCTCTGCAGAACAAGTTTATTTTGTCGCAAGAGATTCTCTACCCTTGCAAAAGGGGTTCTCTGTAACAAAATTCTCTACAACGCATTTTTATTGGTCTCTTGAATTTCATTTTAGAAAGAGTCAACCTGTAGTAATATCTGGTGGGATTTTATGTTGGAGACTACATTGAGTGTGGGGTTTGTTCAATGTTCTCCACTGTCTAAATTAATGTTCATGGCATTTTTCAAAACCTCCAGACTTCGGATTTATCTTGTTAATCTTTAGTTTCTTGGATATATTGCTAAAAAAAAAAGGCAGTCAACCCTCAATTTAGTGCCACCCTCACATAGTGCCACAAATTTCCCTGGAACAAATCTCCCCTTATTTTGTTCAAAGGAAACCCCAATTCAGTGCCTACTCCCTTTGTACCAAAGAAATACCTTGTCCTGGATTTAAAATCGGACAAAAAAGTAATCAAAGCCATGTTAGGGTTTATCATTGGATTATTACTGGGAATAACATGTCCATGATCACGTCAAAACTCAGGATCACTTTGAAAATCGTATTTTTTAATTAACATTGTTGAAGTTTTTGTTGTTGTTGTATCTTCCTGCTTCGGAATTGTATAATTGAAGTGGGAGCTTTCCTGGAATCATTGGGGATTCTTGCACAATGGCACATGATGTATATTTCAAACCCAATGAGTGTTTTATGAAATGGCTCTGTTCTTCTACTGATGTACTCAACACAATACGTGTATACAAATCTAATATATTCTCTTTTGGTAAATATATTGAGATGCAGAATGAAAAAAGTACATTTGTGCTTCTAGTAATTTTGTCGCTATATTATTAAATAGACACGCTACCCTAACAATTCTGTAAACAAGCTTATTTTGTCGACAGCTGAAAACGCCGACTAAATATTTCTCTAATACAATTCCCTCGATTTATTGCCACAAAATGTGCCGCTTCAAATGATGGCACTAAATTCGGGGTGTGGATTTAACACATTTTCATTTCGATACTATAATGTTTCAGGTGATCTGGTCTTGCTTCGAATCCTGAAAGACACCAAGGACGTTGAAGTTTTGTCATGTGCTGTGCGTTACCGAGAAGTTTGGTCGAAAGCTGAGATTTCATCACATAAGGACCGTTTAAGTTATAATGGGAATTCGGGTCTAATCTCGAATGCAAGACATGGTGTTCTCAAAGACAGCGATGAATTTTGTTTCGCCGTCGTGATTAAGACGGCCCGTGAGAGGGTGCCGTGGCGTTCAGTCGATATACGACGTTCATGTTCGAACTTCCGTGGGCAAGAAAATCCGTTGTCGCAAGCTTTTCACACGAATTTGATGCTCAGAAATCGTTATGATGACGACTGCCAGGACGTTAAAGTTACGTATGGACGTTATTTTGGAACCGTTTCATTAGGGGAAACTTCCGAAAAGTATTCAATGACCGCCAAGAATCAAGGTACAACCACACACACTTTGAAGTCCGTGAAAGTTACGAGCATGGAGAACATTTTCAAAGTAGTTGAAGGTAGTTTCCCCGTCGACTTGTTACCGGGGGACTTTCAAGCTTTCGGTTTGGTGTGCAGCCTTGAGGAACTTGACGCATTGCCTCCTTATTCTACTGGAGAAATAGTTTTCGAATTCGAAGACTTCGATGTTCACAGGTTGCTTAGTGCTCGGATGATTACACCTGATGAGACTGTGACCCGGGACGAATCTGTGCCGGGAGCGGTTTGTAGACCTGGAGAGGTGTATGTCAATGGGCCTTCTTGGAAATCAACCTATGAGTACCGCTATGAATATCTGGGTCTCAACGCCGCCCGACACGACCTACCCCTACTAGAGCCAGATACACGGGGTCAAGAAGTTTCTTTAGACTGCTCCCTTCTAATACGCCGCAAAAAAGTCTTTGAGCAGCTTTATCTCTAGATAGATGAAATACAGCGTCTGGAGCAAATGCGAATTACGGGAGCTATCTTGAGCGAGGAGGGGGATTTATTGGGTATAGATGCTTCAAGTTTGTTCGACGATGAAGAAGAGGGACTGTGTTTGCCTACATCGCCAGTTAATATGTCAGATGAGAGAGATTTAGAAGACTTGGTGGATATATCTGACGACACGGAAGCTTTAAACGGTGCTGAAGCTTCAACCCATGACCGAATTCTCCTTGATCATCTTCTCAGCATTAAACAGTATCTGCAACCAGGAATCTGTGTGTCCATCACTGAAGCGCGCAGTCTCTCAAGTACGTTTTTTCACTCTTTCTCTGAGTTAATATCGGAACCTTGTATATTTCAATCGAAAAACAAACCCAGTCGCCAAAGTACACTTTCGCACGTGTTAACTTGTGTGGGTGAGTGGTTAGCAACTCCCGCTACTCATAGTGTCTCTTGGCTTCCAGCGATAAAAATAAAAAAAAAGAGAGAAATTGGTGTCAAGTTTTCCATTGGTTCTCGGATGATTTAGGGTTCTACTGTATTAGAAAATCTACTGAATTATAGAAGTACTTAATTAAAAGGGGGAGAACTGAAACGGATTATTCATGATTGTGATTGTGAACAGATTGCGACTTCTAGCCCTATTGCAAAGGAAAGCTCGTCATGGATTTTTTGGCATTAGGTCGTTGAAGGGATGATGACGTCAGTAGTGTCAGCATTAATTGTCTTGAAGTTGGTGCTCTTCTTGTAGCATGAATAACTGTTGCGAAAAAGTTGGACGTGCCCTCGAGTAAGATGCGCACCTTTATTTTGCAGAATAAAATTTGGCCAAAGATGTGTCGTAGGCTTGTAGCACAAGACATCCACCCCAATTTCTGGTGATACAAACATCCTAATCTTATTTAAAAAAATTACGTCTGCTATGTAACAATTTGTGGAAAAATTTGGATTTCAGGCTCAAGAGTAAAGTTAAATCAGTTATATATTTTATGTGTTCAATTACGGTATATGTGTTCAAGTCAATTATATGTTTTCACTCAAGTACGAGTACCCTTCCCACGTGAAAGGAAGCTGAGCCAATTTTGAAGTTGACTTATGCTCGTGAATATCGGAGTGAATTCCGCCCCGCTCCTGGTTCGGTTGCTGCTGTCGAAGATGAGGTATATCCGCTTTTGATTCGAAACAAGGTGAACGATTGGGAATCCTTGGAACTTGTTCTTTTGCACAATATATTTAAAAACTGTGCCAGTTCTGCAAATTCACCATGAAGTCTGTCGTTCGTTTTAAACGTCAGATCTCTGATCTTGATACAACTTTCATTGTGAAATTAATGTACCTCAAGAAGTTTGGATTACAGGATTGGAAATGCATTTGTGGTAATTGATCGTCCTTTACCTAGCATGCCCCTGGCACGCGGAAAATCCGTTGGTTCAACCGTCATTTAAACGAGCTGCAACGGAAGGCTGTTCTCAACATTTTTAATTCAAGCACAAAGGCACCGTACCTCCTATTCGGTCCCCCAGGGACTGGAAAAACGGTGACACTGGTGGAAACTATCATGCAAACCTACGACATGCTTCCGGAGTCCCGGTAAGTTGATCATAATTTTTTTTTTCGACGCTCAAGATTTCCATCAAGCAAGGTACGGTACTGTAGATCAGGCATTGTGAGGCAACTCGCAGTGGAAGTGAGGGACAGCCAGTTTCTGTCAAGATGAATACCTTTGAAAATGCAGTAAAATCTCATTACAACAAAAAGCGTATACAAAACATTTTTCAGAGTAGCAAACTTTTTCTCAAGTCCTGGCAGAAAGCCAATAGATGAAATGTTTTAAAATCTTGTTATTACAAACTTCCGAATGTCAGTACAGTATAACAATACAAACTGAAAAATTCAAGCTTTTCTGTGGAATGTTTAACAGATTCTCCAGGTAGAAATTTCCTGACAAAGGCAGGCGCAGTCTGAATTTTCCAGTTACAAATGTGACTGGTTCATGTAGTACGGAGGGAAGCTTTACTGAATGACAAACGTATGCTTCAAGTGGTTCCACTCATCATCCCAGAATGAAGAGATTGGTACAACTGATGGAATGCATGCTGATTACAAAATTACTCACTTTTTCAGCAATAATATAGATATGAGAATGCCAAGAAAGTAAGATCTGATTATACGCATGTCCGTTGTTAAAAAAATTCCAGTCATTAATTTTGAAAATGTTTTTATAACAAATTATTCAGCATAACAGACTTTTTCTGAAGTCCCCAAAAGTATGTTCTAACAAGATTTTACTGTATTAAATATTCATGGCATCCGAATTTGTCAGTCTTGATTTTTTGAATGGAATTCGTAATTTAAAACCATCATCAATCCTTGTGAGCTGCACAAAGTAACATTTGTTGAGGTTATTGAAGGATGACCTTGGATGAATAGAGTGATGAATGATGCTTGCTATGATGAATAGATCGATGAATGATGATTGCTATAAAATCTCGATGGTCAATAATTATTTTAGTCTGATTATTTTGCTGTTGGGTTAAGTTGTTTTCTTGGAGGTGGTTCTTGTATGGGAGATCGAGGAAAAATATGTTCCCCCACTTCTTACTTGTTCTGTGAAATCCATAAATCGATGGTTACTGTCGTGATTCTCAAATACGCAAGGTATTCCAGAAAAATCTTCAAAACTAAAGGCTAAAAACTGCATGTAGTCCCGAATGATAATTCAATTGCAACTAAATTCAAAATCAGTTTTGTTTTGAATTTTCAACTTCTCCAACAAAATTTCGTCAGTCATTTGTGGAAACCAACTTTTCAAGAAACTTCTCGAAGTGGAAAGAGAAGTTTAGTTGAAATTGAATGTCTCATTTCCGTTAAGTGTCATTTGCGGAATCTTCATGAAGATGAAAGGCTTCTTCTTTTTCAGGATTTTGGTTGCACTGCCATCAAATACTGCAGCGGAGCAAATATGCAGTAGGTTGGCGGAATATGTCGCTAAAGGTTGGCTACCCGTGGATGATCTGGTGTGGTTCATGGCTCGTGCCAGAGATGCTTCAACAGTTCCCATGAACTGTAAGGAGCACATCCAGAAGAATGAAGGATACGAAGCAAAGATGAGAGTGGCCAATGCACGGATCGTCGTTGCCACATGGTACATGTGCGGATCGATGCCTGAGAAACTTAACCAAGGGTGTGTATTGTTTGTGCGTTTATTTATGGTGTGTCATATTCGCGGTTCACGCGGAGGCGAAGTTCCCGCCGAAAAGGGAGGTGGGAGACGATGTCCCAGGGTGCAAAATGAACCCGTGACAAAATGTCCCCGAGCGGGGCTGTGTCGCCAACAGATGAGGGAGTGATGGTCAGTTGTCACTCTGATTTAGTTACTATACATGGACCGGAAAAGCCTCACATTTTTATAAATATTGCATTCCTTGAAAGAATTTTTTCCTTCTAAAGTGTTTTTTTTTTAAACTGTGAAAATGTTTAAAATTATCTTTAAAAAAAACTCATCTACAACGGTGCTTCTGCCTGCAATAAATACAAGTGGTCTAACGAATGTTCTCGGAATAAAAATTAAAAAGGCATGCGATAGAGCGGAAAAACACTTACTGCATTGTCCAGAGAAAAGAAAATTTTGGTACAAGAAAAAAATATTCAGCCCTCGACACATTTTACCGAAAATTTTTGAATAAGTCACTGTGTCAGTTTTCTGCTCTTCACTCAAAAGATGCAGCGCACATCTAGAAGATTTTTAATACCCCAGTTACCCAGTCAGAATTTTTGAAATTGACATGACATTAATTCCCGAGGTTGCCACCATTAATTGATTATTAAATCCTCCATTTTCATCAACAGCCGCCTTCACAGTCTCCGATTGGGATGAGAATGTGTCGGCTGTGTAGGCGGCCGTTGATGACAATGACGGAATTACGTGGGAATATCGAGACAAACCTTGGAATTAACGCCATGTCTATTTCAAGAATTCTGAAGGAGAAGCTGGGCTGCACCAGCTTCTCCTTGCACCAGGTGAGGCGCTCATCTGCGAGATGAGCGCAGATGAGCGCCCAATCTTTTCAGTGAAGAGCAAAAAGCTGTCTGTATGACTTTTTCAACAATCTTCGGAAAATATGTCAAACAGAGCTGTATGTGTTTTTCTCACGCCAAAAATTACTTTTTCAGATCTGTAATTGTTTTACAACTATGTCGTATGCCGTTTCAATTTTTCTTCCGTAAAAATTTGTTAGACAACTAATATACGCTGTTGAAACGCAATGACATAAAACTGACCATCACACCCTCACCCATTCTTCCCGTGGACCCGCCTACCCCCAACGAACTTTTTGTCGCGGGTCCCTTAACTACTTTGTCCCCATCCTGGTTCCTTTTCGTTGGGGACCTATTTTTCCGGAGCCCATTTTTTGTCATGATTTGATGAATACTGCGGTCACATATTTTTAGATTTGTGAGAATCTTATTTCACTCTCTCGTCCATCAGATCTGGACCTTTCACGCATGTCTTCGTAGATGAAGCTGGGCATATGACGGAGCCTATGTGTTTGGTGCCATTGACTGCTAGCCGCAATTGGACTCGCATTGTGCTAGCTGGGGATCCGATGCAGTTGTCACCAGTCGTTTTCTCCCGCGTCGCGCAAATGTACAAGCTGAAACGATCCTTTATGGAGAGATTGATGGAAGATCATTCTTTCTACATGAAAGTTGTGAGTGACTGCTAGAATGCTTTTTTTTTCGGGTCGTGGAGCTCGATTGCTCCAATTTTGCATCAGATATTTCTTCGTGATTCAAAACCCTCACAAAAAATGCACCTTTACCTGCAGACTGGCTCCTGCCGCCAGTCGTGAGTTCAGTCTCGATAACTCTAATACCTACCTATTGTCGATTTCTTTGAAGTCCTTCTCTGAATTCCTTAATTAAGAAACAATGTACCGGTACTTTGAAAACGTCCCTAACTCAAAGGGTTTCCCCCTCAAACCTCAATAAGTCACTTTTTCTGGAAGCGAGGCGACTATTGAATATTGTATGCGTGTGACCAAGGAAAGAGAAACACGATGAAAAATTTAATCTGATTCTCTCTCGGAAGGTATTGAAGGGATAATTCGGTAAATGAACCATCGCCACAGAGTCCAGTATCGTGTCAACTTCTTTACGAGGCAGTTTTGTGCCAAAAAAGATCATTAATTTCAACCTCGTTTATTTTTTTTATTCAGGCGAAAATTATAGTTTCTCGTAATCGAAACTTCTCCAAGTAGAATGTTTTTGTTGGAATTTGCTTTTTAGAGGTTAAAATGGTTATTCTTCAGGCTGCGAAGAAATTTAGGAGTGGAAATGTGTAAGAATGTGGTCAAGGACTGCAACTCGTAAGAAGGGGATTCCATAAGTAATGACGTATTCTTTTACGATTTACGGTGAAGTATACCTCTTTATGTCTGCCGTTTCTTATCCAGGCATATGATGAGCTCTTGGCTGTTTTATTGACTTGAGTCGCTTTTGATTGATGCCTTCTTTGATTTTCGTCGCTCAACAGGAAGATAAATATCGCTGGGAGTTCGTGACGCAATTGGTGATGAATTACCGATCTCATCCGATGATCCTGTCCATGTATTCAAACTTGTCATACGACGGAGTGCTTCAGGCGTGTGTGAAGCCTGAAGACAACTTGGATTGGATTCCTCTCACCTTTCGCAGATTTTATCCGTTCTGTGTGATAGGATTACACGATAGTCACTGTGAACGCTTGCGTAAAAATCCGTCACCCTTCAATATGAAGGAGGCGTATGAAGTGACTCGGTGAGTTGACCTGCGATTAATTGTTTGAGTGCATTTTTGAAGCCTAGCGAACATGAGTTTGTTTTTCTAGGTACCGGGTCATCCGCCAGTCGGTCAATTGACGGTCGCGCACCCGTCGGTCGTCAAGCGCCGGTCGGTCTAACCGCCAGCCAGGGCAGTCCTTGGCCTTGCCAATCCCCAGTCCACCAAACCGCGGTCCGGTCACCCGATTGTTGGGGCACCCGAAAAATTGGGTGACAAGAATCATGCCGATTCTTTCTAGAATTTGGTGAGCAGAATGGTATCCTACCATAGATTATTTTTTTTTTTACAAAGTTTCATCTTATAAAAATTTTCACGAAAAGAAAAAACTCATCAAACCCAACCTAACCTAACTTAACCTAACATATCATAACCTAACCTCCTAACCTAACCTAACCTAAACTAACCTAACCTAACCTAACCTAACCTAACCTAACCTAACCTAACCTAACCTAACCTAACCCAAACTAACATAACATAAACTAACCTAACCTAACATTGCTGAAATTTTGAAAGAAAATCTGTGGTAGGATACCATTCTGCTCACTGAATTCTGAAAAAAAAATCAGCATGATTCTTGTCACCCGATTGTTCGGGTGCCCCAACAATCGGGTGACCAAACCGCAGTTTGGTGGGCTGGGGATTTGCGAGGCCAAGAACTGCCCTGGCTGGCGGTTGGACCGACTGGCGCTTGACGACCGGCAGGTGCGCGACCGTGAATTGACCGACCGACGGCTGACCGGACACGCTTTTTCTCAGAACTGGATTTCGCAGTAATTCGAAAATTTAGAACCATTGTTCGCGTTTGTCCAACGAAAGTACCGAGTCTAAATCACTCGTTGCATGTTCTTGGATACGCTTTTTGATTACAAAATTTCCTTGAATCAAATTATGTTTGTTTTCTAATTTCAGTATTGTGAATGATTTCATGGCGCACGGCATGGTTCTGCAATCTGACATTGGCGTGATTTCTCCGTATCGAAGCCAATGCCGCAGAATCCAGATTTTCCTTCGAAACTTTCCAGACATAAAAATTGGCACTGTCGAAGAATTCCAAGGAGCCGAACGGAAAATTATTATCCTTTCCCTAGTACACACGTGCCACGACGGTAGGAAAGGAAAGCTTTTCTGGTCTGAGTCGTTTTTCGCTTCTCGAAAGCATACGAATGTTTCGATCAGCCGGGCGAAGCAATTCCTCATTGTGATCGGGGATGTGCCCTTGATGAGGAAAGGCAAAAAGAACTGGGGGACGATTTTGGAGCTCGCAGAAGCAGGCGGAGGCAAACATTTGAAATGTAGCAAGAAAGCATTCAAGTGAAACTTGGATTTTCCAGTTCGCTCTTGTGTTCAAATCAAGCGAGTGAATCGTACTTCTCCGAAAGAACTCGACTTTTTTTCACCTTTCTTAGCTGGAATAGTTTTCCATCAAGTTTGTATTGGCTTAGTTGCAGGCCAGCAAGGTTTCATGCATGGTGATGTCGAAAAAGTATTCTGTTTCGGTGCACAAGTACAGAAATAATTGTGCGATGAGATGTTCCAACTTGGGACGCGTTTTGTGACAAAATGGTGTGATTGTGTTTGCATGCGTCGTGTGTGATCAAATTTGATACTTTTCGGTAATTAATTCGTTTTGACAATACTGTGCAGTGATCATTTCCCCGAGTGAAGAAGTACACTGCGTTGCGCTCTTGTTGAGGAACGTGAAGATCATTCGACCGGTTGAAGATAAAATAAAAATACCGAGGTCAGCTCTCGATAGTCCATAGTTTTTTTTTATTGTTAGTAAGCGCTAAAATTTAGTTTTTTTCAACGATTTGTTTATTGTAGGTGCCGGATAAAATCCCGTTGGCCCGAAAATCTCGCAGGGCTGACCCACCAAAGTTGACAGATCAGTTATGTTTTGGCAATTTCCAAATGTTGTAACATTGATCTAAATTGAGTAGATCTGGATTAATCTGGGCTCCAGCATTCTTGAAAGCCAAGAACTGAATCCAATTTCACCTTACAATGCCTTCGATGATTCCAACATGCAGTACAAACCTGATGAATGAAATTTGACTTCAGAACTGCATTTAAGCAGTGGAATTTCGTTCGCACGAATCTTATGACTAATTCATGCTTATAATAAATTGGTTTTTAGTCCCTGTTCAACAGCCAGAGTGATTTTTTTTTTCATTGCAACGAATGTTTGTTCTTCAAGATCGCCAACGCTTTTTTGTGAAGAGATCATACTGTACAGTACTTGTTTAATAAATTTGAATTTGTCTACGCACCACCGCTCAATTTGGTTATCAAAAGAGGCTTTTTCTGATGCTTGTATTTAGGTTTTGAGATTCTCCTACCCTGCGAGATTTTTCGGCAAACCAGATTTTTGAGCAGCGATATTTTCACATGAAGCCTTCTCTCAAAGCGTTTGCAGGCTTTTAGAAGTATTAGGGCGAATCTAGGATTTTGACCCCGGTGTGCTGATCGAGTAAGCCTTATTTGCGTTAAGCGACGAACATTTTTTTTCCTCGTTATCTAATTCCGCGGTTGTGCACGTCAGGGATGATTCAATGAAGTGCCTCAATCGGAATTGGCGAAGCTTGTGTCTGTTACATGGGAATTAATGTTGCGGATTGACCCAGTTTCAGAATGCATCTTGCAACTTTGTGGCGATTATTGAGCTGATACGAGACAAAGATTGCGGGAGGATTCTTGCGTTGGTTGAATGTAGATCAACTTTCTCTGCAAAATACTGGAATTTGACTGGTTTTTTTTTTTTTACAGGAAGTTTTGGTGCGCTTCTTATTCCGTTTTTGTGATAGTCAACTGGTTGCACTAAGTATCCTTGACACAGCTGTGATTACATCGAGGGCTAGTCATGATTCCGTGCTGCATACGGGACGATCTCATTGAGATCAAATGTTGAAACGAATTCGTGCAACATTCCGGAGAGACTGTTTTCTTTGAAGAAATGAGGTAAGCTGCCCCGAGGATCTTTGTCCATGGTTACCCAAGGATCTGAGCATGGGGATCACAGAGATAGCTATGGCAAGGCCTGACCTACTTTTTCGCGATTCTGTTGGTGAAGTCGCTTCAGACGAGGTCTTTGTTCTGCTGAAGTTCAGTTTTGTTTTCGCTCCTTGAAAACCTCGAAGCACTATTAGGTGTTTTCTGAAAAATTTCCATTTTCGCAGTACTGTATAAGCGTTGAGAAAGGGTAGAGACGGCAAGCTGCTGTAAAATTAAAGGAAAGTATGCAAAGTCGGTTTAAATCTAACCGTACAAATGCCGTATTTTCTCGATTACCACGTGGCCTCCAGTAAAACCCGCACGCAAGTTTTTCAGTCTAAAATTTTGATGAATTATATCCCGGAGTAAGACACGCTCCCCAGTTTTCGTGACTCTAAAACTGCAGCATCTGAAAAATGAGAACGTCCAAAGTCGAATTGATGTATGAATTGAACCCGAATCAACTAATTTCTTTTGTTTCCATTACAAAGTTCATTAAGTCCATCGCGGTTTTGTTTTGCTGTCATGAATTTGTCCGTCGCAGTCCTTATCTGAGCAACTTTTTCTTCCCAGTCCTAAATAACATTTGGACATGACATTTTCATTGAGCATACCTAATTCAAACACTATCATCGAAGCAATGCTCTTTTTTACTAACCCAACTCGGAGGCATTATTTCTAGGAAAGATTTTTCGAGTAATCCTATTACA